GGGGGGGGGGGGGGGGGGGGGGGTAAGTTTTAGTAGTACAGAGTTGAGACCACATTTTGTAAAGAGATTTATACGAAGTATTGTTTCTTACTGTCAGGGGAACAATGAATCCGGAGAAGAGGTTCCATATTGCAACAAAGGCTGATGAAACTATGGCAGCAATACTGTGGTTCGGAGTCACTGCCACGAGCATCATCCCATACAATGCGTAGTATAATAAAGTGAAGTACATGAAGAAAAGATACCAAAAGAACTTGGTAACTGTCCACTCAAACCCAATCATGGCATAGACTATGACACCATAGATGACTGTTTGTACGAAAATGTAGGGCAACTCAATCACAATCTGCATAACAAAGAAGTTGGCTGTAAACTTATTGAGAAAATTGCAAGAATGCTTGAAAATGTCTTTCGATTTCTTTTGAAAGTGAGCCAAATTTTTGTATGCACAACAGCACAAGTCACAGTCACATTTACTATACTAATAGTTTCCCAGATTTGGATCTCCTCCATTGCACTATCCCACAAATTAGCTCAAAAGTTAATTATCTGCTATGAATTCAAGTGGGATCCACTATATATGAAGTGGGTCCCATGAATACACTGTGGATTATCTAAAAGTGTACTGAAGGAAATTTGTAAGCTTGTCGAACACCAAATTGTTTGTAGAATTGCCAAATATATGACTTTCTGTCATGCTAAACAAGTGACATAAACATAAACAAGTGACATACCTGTCCAAAAGAATAAGGCAGAGCGGAATACATTCCGGCGGCTCTTTCCCTGTAAAAGACTGTTCTCTCTATAGCAACAATGGGCTGCACTGATATACAGTTTTGTGCACCGAGAAATAAAACAGCAGTGTACATAGTTCCCATTGCATTAAAGAGATCTTGCTGCCTTCTCCTGAAACTCAAAAAATAATATCTGAATTAATTGAGGGACTGAAAAAGGGAAAAATCTGTCGAAAAAAATTATTTTTGGATTTCTCAATCTATTTACCTTTTGGAGCCAAGATCCCAGAACATTGTCCCAAACATCAAAGCTGTGAAAGTAGTGAAGAGAAGTCTCACTGCATTGTAAGGCGGGTTTCGCCAATATGACCAATGTTGTTTCCATAGGCAAGCCATACATTGTGTGAAGAAAGATTGCGAGTATTGAGTAGGGAAATGCAAATCTTTGCAACCTGGTGCAGGTATACCGAGTTCCTTGATCAATGTTCTGTTTCTCCTGAATCATTCATCTAAGAGTATTAATCCATATAGTTCAAATTTACAGCTACTCCAAGATGTTGAACTCTGACCCATTGTTTCGAATTCTTAGCATCTTTTCATCATTCTTCTACATTTTGATATTCTTGATTTTGACCATTATAGCAATTGTGAACTTAAGATTTGATCTAAACAGTTGAAAAAGAAGTTAAAATTCGAATATAATTCTCATGGCCCAACCTGTACAGTTCTGAGTTCTTATATACTTCGGCAAAGTTAATACCAAGAGCTGCTTCTTGGGCATCTGAAGTCACCTCCAACATCCAAGTTGCTGGATTATAACCATCTCTTATCTTAATAACTCCATCGACTCCCTTGAGAAAGCATAAGTTGATGTTTTTAGTATTTCAGAGGAACATAAAGCGAAATTTTGATGATCTTATGTAGTCATCAGCCTCACCTCAAAGTACTTGATCAGCTTGGAAGAATGGAAGCCTATTGGGCCAACATATATTTCTTCACCTCCTCTTTTCAATAAGAGTAGCTGCGGGACAAAGCAATGGCAATTTTATTTTCTTGACAAACTTGAAAAAAAAAAAATCTTCTGGATGTTCAAGTTTGAAAGATCAGCCACCTCATCAAAAGCATCAAATATATCAATGCTTGGCTGATGGATGGTGCACACCACGGTTCGTCCTGTATCTACTGTGTTTCTCACTGTTCTCATCACAATTGCTGCAGCCCTGGCATCTAGTCCTGAGGTTGGCTCATCCATGAATATTATAGATGGGTTAGCCACCAACTCAACCGCAATCGTTAGCCTCTTGCGCTGTTCGGTTGAAAGGCCATCAACACCAGGCAACCCAACAAGTGCATCCCTTAACGGGGTTAGCTCCACAAGTTCCATGACTTCCTCAATGAACATCTGTAATCCATTGGTAAGGTTTAAAGTCGAATGTTAAAGCCCACAGAATCTGGAGATATGTTAATCCTAGCAGAATTTAATGATTAGGAGTCACCTTCTTGGTTCCACTGTCCACTTCAGGAGGCAACCGAAGCCATGCAGAATACTGCAAGGACTCATAAACTGTTACCTGAGGAGAGTGAATATCATTTTGCTCACAATATCCTGCTATACGAGCAAATGTTTCTTGCTTCTTTGGGTACCCTGATATTGTGATCCTTCCCTCAATATATCCACCCGTTTTTCTACCAGCCAAGACGTCCATCAGAGTTGTTTTACCAGCCCCACTAACACCCATTAAAGCTGTAAGCACTCCTGGCCTAAAAGCACCACTTACACCTTTCAGAAGTTCCAGACGGTCTTCAAGAATACCCTGAGCTTTCATTTCCTACCATGATAGTAATAATTTCAAAATGTGTGAGCTATGGAGAACTCATCATAATTTGAGAAAATCAGGAATTGACAAAAGGAATATGATCAAAGTCAACTTTAGCAACGTAAGGTTTGTTGCATACTGTTCTAGATTCATCAAAGATGCAACAATATCATCAAAACACCAACGAAATTCTCACTTGAGCTCAAAACAATGATCCTATTGATCACCTGTCAAATAAAACCCAACGATACCTGTGGCATATCTACTGCATATTTGATATCATCAAAAGTGATGTAAAGGGGTTCAAAAGGAAGATGTTGTAGAGCCATTCCTCGCTTCCTGGTAGGATCAACCTCACCAGTGCTGCCCACACTTGATGACCTTGACCTGGGCGATACGGTTTTCTGAACTTCATTTATCCTTTCTGCATATTTCAGTTGAATAAATTAGTAGGCACCCCTAAGTTCACAAATATAAAAACTTGTAGAACTTTTTGAGGCTGATGTTTGGAACTACGGCAGTACTAGAGTGAACACAAAGGACACTAATCAAACTGTATTAATTTACAACTAGACAATCATACACAACAAAATACATGTGACACGACAAATAATAATAATGTCATCACTTAAACCGCTCATATCACTTACACTCAGCTTTACCTAAACTTGCACACACCATATAAGGACCAAAGACCCCCTATATGCCCACGAAAGAGTTGGTTTATCACCGACTTGAAACGCCTGGAGATAATCAAGAGATCAAGACACCTACATTAGAGGGGGTAAAGATAACTTCTAAAATGCACCACTGTTTCACAGCCAGAACTAGGCTGAGATATTTTTCTACAGAAATATCTGGAGACTGATCTTGTAGAAAGAAATACATAGAAAAAAGTGAAAAGAGGATTTCAGAAAAATCTGCAGAATCGGTGGTGACTCTCAGCACTCCTCCCAATGCCGACGCTCCAGTTTAGTTTAGTGCCCACGCAGTCATACTGAGCTGCTTTCAAAACTTTGAAGGCCTGCCATTTGGTCATCTATTTTTCTATGAAGCACCTCATTCCCCTCCGGGATACTTCTTCAACAATGTTGTTTCTGTGATGTTGTTTTTCTTCAGGGAAAGCAGCATTTGCATATTTTCAGTTGGGATTTCAATGTTCTGGATATCTCTTGATTGATGGTACACTTTCCTCAATCTGTTCTTCCGTCGGACTCCTATGACTCACTAATTTTTCTAGTGTCTTCGTCAAACTAGGCTTAGGCTTTTACCAGCGTTGTTCATTCCTTAGACATCTCTAAACTTGGAGGTAGTACTTCTTCTCATGCTACTTCCTACAGATTCTCCTATAGTCTTCAACTACTCTCTTCATTCTCTCTTCAACAACATTCCCAAGGATCTAATAGCAAAATTTCGTTGCATAATTAAATTTTCATAAGAAATTAAATAATGGGCAAACCTCCTTGTTCGGTAGATATTAGCTCTCCGGTCTTGTTAGCATTTCTCTCAGGCAAGGTTTCTTCCGGCAGAACTGCATGAGGCTTCCCAAATGCTGCATCAGATCACCACATATATGTTGATAAGTAGACCGCCGTAGATTAGTGCAGTTGAATGTTGTTAGATACTTACGGTTGAGATAAGCTAGAGCCAAAGTACAGAGAAAATTAAATAGCAGAACATATCCAATCAGAGCTCCTACTCCAATCCAATACCACTGTGCTTCTGGAAACAGTGCACGAGACTTCAGGACTAACAGTCCCAATGGTTCTGTGGAATTAGGAGGAACCTGTAAAATGACCACTTCCATTAGGTGCTGGTGATATTACCCACAAAATCCATTTCCCAATTTTTTTTCCTTGTTAAACCCATATACTGAAAAATCATTCTTACATGCCTCCAACTCTTTCCAAGGAATTCATTCACAGCTATGGCATTCTGCCCATACATCACAGGTGAGATCCAGTAACCCCATAACCACCATTTCTGCACATCATCTGAGGGGCAAAATCATTTCTTACACTGTAATGTCCTTACATCACCAAGAAATATATGTATCTGTATGTATGTGTGTGTGCGTATATAGTTCTATTAGATTCACACTTTTTACCTCGTGACAGAATGAATCCACCCAGCACAAGAAATACAAGTATTGCAAATGTGCCAAATGTGTTTGCAACTATGATGTTCCTCCCTACTGCTCCTACAAAGCGGAACATTCCTGAAGCCAGCTGATTAATGCATAAAAGTAGAAAGAATTGTCTGAAAAACCTGCATTTATGAACATTTTTAAGATTAAAAACCTGAACAATTTTAAATGTTTAAAAGAGGTTACGATTCATTACCTTCCTAAGTCTGGATCAAATCCTATGACATAATAAGTCATACACACCCAAATGGCAACTTCAGCAAGAGAGACTGGGATCTTAAGGATCCATGTGGGTAGAGAGTATGCCCAAGCAGAAAGAAGAGGAGGTCCCGTTGTTTGTAAAATACTGGAAGTTTCATAATGCTCATAGCAAGCTCTGCGAATCCGTTAAATAAAATTATGACGACCACGTAAAACAGAGCACCCATGAAAATCCCACCATCTGTTACTGTTTTCCTGGGCATCTCACTTCGTAGGAAGACTGTCATTGCTATGAAAGCCATGAAAATAAGCTGAAAATATGAAATACAACCATTAGTTTTTATTTTAGTAACTTGAAAGGTTTAAGCAACTCAAAATTTCTAGTGTTTAACGTATCATATATAAGGACTTGATGCTCTTACATGCAACTTACTTGTGTTATCTTGAATATGTAGACAAATGAGTTCCTCTTCATAAGCAAGTATTCTCTAGATATGCAGGCCTTCAATAGTTCTTTCTTGCTAACACCATACTTCGTAGTGGTTAGAGCAGCAGGGTGGCTCTTGGCTTTGTCAAATGGAACAGCAAGCTCATCGCCTAGTTTCTGGCCAACATGAAATGACTGAAACGCTTCTGCAAATTCTCTGACACTCACAAAGTTATAGGGTTTATCGTTGCATGCCCAATATTGCTCTGATCTTTTCTTGATATCACCTATGGTTCCCAACCAAAAACATGTTAATAATTAGTCCCCCACGCTTAACAATATGAGAAGGAAAATGTATCTGAAAGTTTCAATTACTTCTTGTAAGAAGTCTGCAACTCCTTTCCTATCAGGACATTTGAAGCCCATGCACTCAAAGAACTCTAGCACGTTTTCACGGGGACCTTGATACACGATTTGGCCATCTGACAGAAGAATTATGTCGTCGAATAGGTCATAAGTTTCTGGTGCAGGCTGAAGCAGCGAAATTAAAGCAGTTGCTTGAAGAATGTGGATGGATTGCCTGATTGAATTAACAATATGAGAAGTTGTTGAGCTGTCCAAACCAGTTGATATGTCAATCCATGAAAAGTGCTGTTGCTGGCCCAACTAGCATCTCCCCTATATCATA